AGGTAACAAAATACGACAAATTAGGGGTTTACAAGCCTGTCAAGGACGTTCTCAGGCTTGCTTGGGCAATGGAAGAAGGACGCCGCATCACACGGGACATCTGCGGATCAGATCCCGAACGGATGTCCGCCTACCGAATCGTCGAGTACCTCGAGCAGGTGTTTGCAAATGACAGCCAGGTCACCATGAAAGCCGAACGTGTGGATCCGGTCAAATATCCCTTCTGTGCCACAGTCAACAGAGCCGCTAAAGGTTTGTTTAGTCCTACTTGTTAAAACCCTAAATCCTCTCTTCAATGACCGAATTAGTTGTACTCCAATCTGTGGCCTCAAGATCGATTTCCGAACTCAGATCTACAGCTTGGGCTGCCTCCTTACACACTTAATGTTTCGTTTGCTTCAGATTTTATGTATCTCACCCGACAGCGTGAATAAGGTCCTGAGAACAGTGAGTAGATGTTTCCCAGGAATAGGTTATCCACCGGACCTTTGTTTAAATGTTTTTATGCACACACAGTTTTGGGTTTTTACCTTTGAATAAAGACTTGCCCCCCAATTACCGAAAGGTACAACGACCAACATTAATTATCAATCTGCAGCCAGGATTCAAATACCAAGATGCTATTTGCAGCTGTTGCTCACGTATTGTCAATGAACGCATAAGTACTTCACAACGGGCTGAAGAAGGCCGCAGACTTTCCCAAATGTACTTTCGCCGTCTTAATTTCGAAGTGTTTCAGGTCAGTTAGGCAGTGGCTTGAGGAAACGTAGAGCATTTCGTTGTGTTCGAGTAACTTTCTCCGTTTCATACAAATGCTTGTACCCGCAACTCGCTTTGTATTGCAGTTGTATAAATTTGCTGGCGGTCATTTATGCCGGACGCTTTGACCACGAAATTGTGTAAACAGTCTTATTTGAAACATTTATATCTGTTCAAAATAGAGTTATTTGACAAAAAGGCTGTAAGACACGTTAACAGATATGACTAAATAGTTTAAATACTCTAATTGACTTTTCAAAATGCGGAGCGATTCTTAAATCCACATCTACAATTATATTTACCTCCCCAATGATTTAATGCTTAATTATATCTCTTTATTATGTAATAGTAAGTAAAGTGTAAAAACGCACATGGGGTAAGCTAACACGTCTTCAATGACCAAATCTACTGCCAGTGTCCGCCCGTACAGATAAAAATGAAGATTCTATGAGAGGTGTATAAGTCACCATGTTAATAACGCAACAACAAACCTGTTAAACGTTTGTTTAAATACTTTATACAACATTCAGAAGGACAGTTGGCAAGTAAACATAAGCTTTCGATACAATTGTCATCGGGCCATTAGATTTTTATGGGAACGGGGTCAAATATAAAATTTGCGGTCAATAATGTTCGTCATTGCCATTAGAGGTGAATATGCGAGTTCCAGGAAGCAGTTCAGAAGCAGGAGCTGCGGCCACTGGAACAGGAGTTTTATTGTCCTGACGTTTCGGATTTCGTTGGGAATCCTTAATCAAAGGTAATGAGTAAATAGTCTGAGTCATGCGCAGATAGAGGTGAAACATGCACAGATTGCACGGTATTTATTGTTCGTAGCGGTCATTCGCGTGCGTAGTATAATTATCCACTCCTGTAGCCACCGCTTGGATCTTAATTGCTAGGGTGATGGCTTGACACTTCGCGTTCGACTCATTTATTGCTGCGATTTCCTTGTCCGCGTCGGATGCGGGCCTGATAATTGCGCATAAATTATGCCCGCTGCTGTCAGTGTTGTTGCTGCGCCCGACCCTTCCCAAGTGACTGATTCTCTTGCTCAGGAAATTTCTCAGTACACCGTATGGGAACGCTAAGTCGTTGCGCTTGCTGATGGACTGAGGGCCTGAGCACCATGACTCGAGCGGCTCGCGGCTCACTCGGTTGTCACCTCCTGCGAGGATTTTGACCTCGTCAAACTTGAAAATATGGTCCGGTCCCGTCGAACATTGTGGCAATTAATGAGCCATCACCGCATCAATGAAGACAGCAAGCGGTGGTTACATGAGCTGACAATTATAGTACGCATGCGGATGACCGCTACAAAGTATAAGTATCGTGCAATTTGTGCATGTATCACCCTTATTTGCGCATGTCTCGGCCTTTTTTTCGATTACCTATGATTAAAGATTCCCGACGAAATCCGAAACCTCATGACAATTAAACTTTTGTTCCAGTGGTCGCTTCTTCTTCTTCTTCTGAACTGCTTCCTGGAAATCTCATATTCAGTTTTGGAGAAGAAGCGATCACTGGCGTAAGAGGTTTATTGTCCTGATGTTTCGGATTCCCTCAGGAATCCTTAATCATAGGTAATAGTGAAACAGTCTGACACATGCGCAGATAAGGTTCAATTCTATTGGCAATCTGAGCATGCTTTCAGAAC